GAGATAGGTTACTCACGAATTAAGTTTGTTTAGTTATTAAAAGGGTAAAAAAATCAACATTGAATGTGAAACAAGCGTAAACTTTTTGATTGACGGATTCGACCCAAAACAACTCGTTCTTATACAGGTAAATACGATATGCTAACAAATATTTTTAACCTATTATGTGAAATCAAACAGATATTTGTGTTCTGTAGTAACATTTGATGCTATAGTCAATTTTTACATGTTAAAGACTAAATCGTATATTGTCAAAAGTAGGCATCTGAAAAGTGCATGGATGAACTTTTGAAGCAGCATCTTTTAGCTGTAATCTTTACGAGGCCACATTTAAGTAATGAATTGTGATTCTCAAATACTTTTTTTAAAAATAAAATTAAGAATGGAAATGGGGAATGTGTCAAATAGACAACAACCCGACCAAAGAGTAAAATAAAAAAGCCGAAGGCCACCAATGGGTCTTTAACACACAGAAACAATCCCGCACCCGGAGGCAGACTTCAGCTGGTCCCTAAACAAAAATGTGCACTAGTTCAGTCAAAATGGACGTCATTCTAAAAGTCTAAACTTTAGGGAAAGTAAAATTAACAAATATACCGAACTCCGAGGAAAACTTTAAACGGAAAGTCAATAAGCAAAAAGGGTATCTGCTACATGTCGTATAACCAAAAAAGAGATAATATAATTTAAAAGGGAATATAGGAAATATTTTGAATCCAGAATAATTTGTATATATATACCTACTACTGCCATTGAAGTAATTTTAAGTTTACATGCTGAACAATTGAAAACAAATTTAAAGTCTATGATAACAAATATTTAATATTTTTATAAATAGGTATTTAATATAGGTGACATTTCAATTGTCAGATAAGGGCCTTTCAGTTGCAGATTATAACAGGGTATTACAATATGTTAATCCTACGATTTTATCTCATGTCATAACATTGTGTTTGTCGCGAAGTCATTAAACATAATACAAACAGTATCAGTAATAAAATTGTTCATATGTTGGCAATAGACACATTGTCCCTCTGGAACACATAAGATGATGAGTTCACGTCTGTATTTTATTTGTGCGGGATTCCGTCTGCTGAATCGTTAGTTTACTATGTATGGTGATTTTGTCTGTTGTTCGTCTGCTCTTCAGTTGACCTTGTTGTTGTATGTTAATACCAAGGTATCTATGAGTTTTAAATTGGCCTCTATATATTTTCTATTTTATTACATAGTTATTATGCTGTAGAATATTCAATATGACAGAACCTTTCTTATTTGGTTGCCAGTATACGCATGAAACACTTAAGAGAGGGGTAACTAATATATAATTTTATCATTTCCGCAGATCTTAACTTGCCCTCCTCATAATGCTTAAATGAAACGTACGATTACGATTGAAGCCTTGGTAGGATAGTTTTAGAGGTAAGATTATGCTTTTGGTGAGGGATGGACTAGTTATAGTACAGTCCGGTATCTACATGATTTATATACACAAATTGACTGAGTGTTCAATTCCCACATTTATTGCATTGTAAATGTTAAAAACAGGAAATTAAAAGTTAATAAATTAACTTTTTTTTTTGTTAAATTTTCATGTGGATTTATAAAACGTGGTTATAGAGTCAACGCATAACTACAAGACACCACGTGAGTGTTGTCTGTCAATGTGAACAATACAATTCTTGTGAAACATTTTGGCCGACCGTGCAAAATTTTCATGGGCAATCACGGTCGTGGAACAAACCCGAAGTAGGGAAACATGTTGGCCGACCGTGCAAAATCTTAATGGGTAATCAAGGTCAAGGAACAAATCCGTAGTAGGGTCAGATTTTAGCCGATCGTGTAAAATCTTCATTAGTAATCAAGGTCGTGTAACAAATACGTGGAAGGGAATAAAGGCAACAGTAGTATACCCTGTTCGAAATTCATAAATCGATTGAGAAAAAACAAATCCGGGTTACAAACTAAAACTGAGGGAAACACATCAAATATAAGAGGAGAACAAAGACACAACAGAAACACTAAAATGTAACACACACAGAAACGAACTATAAAATAACAATAGCCATTTTCCTGACTTGGTACAGGGCATTTTAAGAATAAATGCTGGGTTGAACCTGGTTTTGAGGCTAGCCAAACCTCCCGCTTTAATGACAATGTTAAATATAACACTATAATGACAACATTACATGACATGACTACATTACAAATAAATGGAAGAACATACAGGACAGAGAAACACACAAATAAACAATACAATAGAACATTACGACAAGCTAATAGTTATCAAAGGTGCCAGGTATAAAGATGAAGAGCATTGATGACCCAAAATTCCAAAAAGTTGTGCCAAATACGGGTAGATTTTCTGCCTGGGATATGAAAATATTAAGTATTTAGAATGATTCATATTTTTGCAAACAGTAAATTTATAAAGTATAAAAATGACCATATAATTGATATACATGTTAACACCGAAGTGGTGACTAACTACAGAATAAAAACGAATACGTAAAACAACCTAGATCAGCACATAAAAACAGCACAGCCGAACAACACATAGTATGTCATCCGAATAGATCGACGCAGAAAAGTGACGTCACAGGTAAATTTCTAAAAATTTCCAAAAAGTAGGATAGAGTTCAAGATTAGGTTGTAATACTGATATTACATGTATTTGATAACTATGAAAATTAAAATACTTATTAATATAAAATTGTGTTAGTAATTAGATAATTAGTTGTATTATCTAGCTATGTCGGTATTTCTTCTAAATCAAACTGAAAACCAAATACATAGTGTAAGTTTAGTTGACCCAAACTAAAATCTTATAAATGAACTGGGTGATAAATTATCTTTACACTCACACACGAATAGAACAGAAAAAAGTAAGAATTACAACTACAAACGTTAAGACATTTGACAATAACAAATATAGCATCAAAACTAAATACAAGAATTTGGGATAGCAAAATACCGCGACACATCTTATAGCAATGCGAATTCACACTCAGCAAAACAGTCACAATCGGGAATAGGTCACGTTCGGTACTCAAAAGATCAGACGACGTAATGGCAAACCACAATCTAAGACGTGGTAAAAACGTCCTTAGCTATAGTTAGTATGGATCAACCAATTCGTGATGATGTCCATAAAACTTACGGAGTCTCATTTTTAATCTTTCCTCCTCATAACTTTGTTGGAGCAGTTTCTGCGTAAGGAGCACAGATACATTTTTGCCGACCGTGCAAAATCATCATGGGTAATCACGGTCGTAGAACAAACCCGTAGTACGGACATTTTTTGGCCGACCGTGCTAAATCTGAATGAGTAATCAAGGTCGTGGAACAACCCCGTCATTGGGAAACACCTTGAACTGTAATATAAACGAATTTGGATCGGATCTTCGTAGTCTGAGTGGTCTAAGTATTGCATCTACTGTATCACTAGCCTGTCAGCACTGATATTGTGAATTCTGTCCCTTACCTGACAGATGCGTTCAATGTCGGTCAATCTTAAGTGATAAGATGGTGTTTATTGCCGAGAACTCGACGGTTTTTTTCTTGCACTCCGGCTTCCCCGACTAATAAACTGGTCGCAAAGACACAGCCAAGAGTACTGAAATAGCGATAAACACCAACAAAAGGAATGTTATGTAATTATTCACTGGTGTAAAGTATTTTCTAGCATTATTTAAAACAAAATTTAAGTCCGTTGACATGTTTCAAATTATATGCTGTACGAATATAAGAAGATGTGACTTGATTGCCAACGAGACTAAATATTAACCAGAACCCAAATGCTGTAATAATTAAAAGTCACCCTACGACCTTCAAGAATAAACAAAAGCCGTATACCAAGCTATAAAGGGCCCCGACATGACAAAATGTAAAATAATCAAAACGAGAAAATCAACGGCTCGATCTACAAAACAATAAACGAAAAGTAAATAGATAGCAGCCAATTCACAATTTACTTAATGCGTTTGTTATATTCTCTTCCTCAGTATTATATATTAAAAAGAAGGTTTGTATGATTGCCAATGAGACAACTCTCCACAAGAGACAAATGACAAAGAAATTGATAGCAGCTATAGGTCACCTTACGGCCTTCAACAATGAGCAAAGCCCATATGTATGCCATGATATGTTATAAACACTACAGCATTTTACTTTGCAAAAAATACAAAGAGTGACACAATTTAAAAGATACAGCCTCAAACATTTATAACAGATGTTTCACTTTAAACTTTAATAAAAAATAAGAGCACGTGAAAGTTTTTGGTAGGGTTCGTGTTGCTCGGTCTTTGGATTTCTACGTTGTGTTCTTTGTTCTGTTGTTTATTTGTTTGTCTTTTTATTTTTTAGCCATGACGTTGCCAGTTGTTTCTCGACTTATTACTTTGAATGTCCTATTGGTATCATTTGCCTCTCTCATAAAACAAATTCTCAAAGATTTTCGTTATTTTTTGAAAGGTTTGCGTTTTTTTCGCAAAGGTTTACGTTATGACGCAAACATCGATCGGAAAGAATATAAAAAAGTACGTCGGCGCTGAAACGCTTTCGTCTATTTCATCTCAATCTACCATGCATTATTTACGGAAAATTAAGTCATTATACTTGTAATTAGTTTCTGGATATATAATTGACTTTTATTGGTCGACCTACACCATTAGAGATCAAATATAAGTTAAGTAAAGAAACGTTGATTTTACAATTTCATAAATACATACAACTTTTTGTCAAATTTCATACTTTTAATCTTTTTGTTTGCATAAATAACAATCATTAATGGACCTTTCAGTTTTGTAATGACAATGTTTTGATTTTTGTTATAAAGCCTTATTTGCTATTTAAATTGCTGGTGGAATAGTAGGTCTAAATATTTGACTGTCTCTAGGGCTATTATTACACAGGAAGTACAATTAAATATAAATAGCTTATTAATGATATGAAGATATTTAAATGCTAAAATTAAGATGAACTGTCTTTGGCTCTTAGATATGGCTGTGCTGTCGACACTTTTTCTTTTATTTATAGGTAAATATAAAATTTATATGCGTGCTCTTGTTTCTTTGATATTTGTGCATTTTTTATATTCTAACGCACTTAAAATCTTTACGTATTTTATTAGTTTCCGTGTCAATTTTAATTTTATTTGTTCGAATTTTATTTGCAGATATTTTCTTCTAATTAACTGAAACATTAATCTCTTATTCATTCAATCAATTATCTTTTGTCTTGCTTAATTTGTATCACCAAATTTGATTCCCTTAATCCATTGTTGAGTCACAATAATGGAAATTAAAATCGGTTTCAGTACATATACGATCACTTGGATTTTTATTATAATCATGGAAGGAAAATATGAATGTCAATATTACACTTTCATATTCTTTTATACAGTTAACGTATAGAATATAATTGTACGTTTGAGATCCTTCGACGGTTGTATGTTATCATCTATGTGTCCTACAACATTTTAAGGATATGGATACGTACAATGAAATATTTGTTTTTACTTAATAATATCAATCATTGAAAATTATTTTGTAAGCATGATTTTACCAAGAGAAATTAATAAAATGTGGTATTTTCTCAACTTTTATCATAATATTATTTTAAAAGCTAAAAAATGTCTATTACACTTAATAATTTCTTTGCGTAATTCAAAAATCAGTAATTGCTTACAATTTGTTCTCTTTACAATAATTATACCGCTTGTTTGTTTGAATTTTAAAAAACAACACCAATTAAATCTTTATAATTTGAAAAAAATTTAATTCTGATTATTTTTTAAATATTTGTTTGGCATTTAATGTATATACAGTTAGTTCTTGTCATTGTGTTCTGTTTCGAAAGTTGTTGAATGCAATGTTCTATAAAGGACACCAACTTCTAGTAAACAAATATCAACGCGGGACGTTTGCGCTTTAATTTTGAATTGGACATTTTGATCTTTTTTAAATGGACATATGCGCTTTAAAACAGGTAATTTTCGCTTTTTCTAAAGGACATTTGCATTTTATTTTACCGAACATTTGTGGTTTATCAATATAACATTTGATATATGTAATTTCGAACTAGTTGACGACTTACTGTTCAGTGATACTCGTCATGAAAGACAAAATTGTAGGATTAGTTGTCAAATTGTTTATTATACCACTATAAAATGATTCTCATTATTTATTGTTTGTTTTCTGTATGATGGCTGCTCAGCCAATAATATATTGGTTGAAATCTTTGTAGTCACTAGAAGGTCCCCACTTATTTAAAACCCTACGTCAAACGATATCCTTACGATAGGGCGGAAGAAAATTAACTCATATGTAACAACCTCGACTATTTTCGTCAATATCAACATGAACAGATGTTGGTTAAAAATCAAGCTTAAGTCTTCACTAGTTCAAAACAATCTTAATGTTTGACCTAGCTCCTAAAGTTTTTGAGCCCAAACTAAAAAAATGGACAGTGAAAATCAACGTTCTAGAGACGATTACTCCAAAAACAGGTTGTCAAATTTTCAAAGTAGATAGATCTTGTCATGCTGATTATTTTTTGTCATTTGAAAAAAGAATTGCAATAGAGGAGATATGTGGCCTTTCCAGTAAATCTCGTTTTGGGATCTTCTCGTTCCCTTTTTGTTTTTCTTTTGTAATATTCTGTGCTTCAATTGCTCTCTTGTTTGTCCCATTTTCCGATTTATAAATTATTTTAAATGCATTTAACACTTTTACCTAGCTCCGACAGGTTTAAAAGTAACAACAAAAATACAAAACTTGGAAAAAAGGTATTACTCAGGGAAAATATCTAAACAAAAATTGTTGAGAAATTGCTATCTAGTTTGTCAGTTTTTCTCTAATCGTTATACTATAATCTTAGGTTTTGAGATAAAAGAAAAAAATAGAATTCTTCTCGAAGCCCGTGTACAGAATTGTTGATATTCAGGAAATGAATACACTATATACATTAATTGTCTTGGCATGACATATTTGATTTGACACCGCCTGAGTTACTATCTTATAAGAACGTATACTATTGAACCAGAATCAGGATAACCCTTTCTTAACACAGTTTAAAATCAATTTGAGGAACTGATTTAAAGAGGATTAGATTTCAATCGCTTTCTGTTATATAATTTGTAAACCTTATAGTTTAAAATTGTTTGAAATATAGGATATGGTTGATACTGGGAAACTATATTTATTAATCGGATAGTGTGACAAAAACAAATCAACTGAAGCTTATTATATAATCACAAAAACGTAACAATAATGGAAAGAGAAGATCACAAGACGGCAATTTACTACCATAAGTCGAGGGGAAAGGCAATGTCTCCTCGATATACATATTTATTAATTTTTTTTGAAATAGTCATATACTGTTAAATTGAATATGATAGACATTAGAAGATGTGGTATGAGTACCAATGAGACAACTCTCCATCCAAGTCACAATTTGTAAAAGAAAAACCATTATAGGTCAAAGTACGGTCTTGAACACGGAGCCTTGGCTCACACCGTACAGGAAGCTATGAAGGGCCTCAAAAATGACTAAGGTAAAACCATTCAAACAGGAAAACCAACGGTCTAATCTATATAAAAAACGAGAAACGAGAAACACTTACGAACTACATCAACAAACGACAACTACTGAACATCAGGTTCCTGACCTGAGGTTGTATTGTTAATCTTGAATAATTTCTATTTTGATCAAACTTTATCGCCTACCATAACACCTGCGAGTTAAGGACGTTTTTTTTTGTAACCTTGGACACGAAATAATTTCGGTTTTTGCACAATCAATACCTAACGTTGCCTTTAGAGGTAAATATATTTTGTGTACATCAATTATGATCATCTTTTTTGGCACACATTTGTATTATCAATCATAATTATCAAGTCTTCTTTCGTTTTTGTTTTGTCCATGCATATTGTGTCTATATAAAAATAAACCGTTTATTCTTGAGTTTAACTTTGTTAGAGATTAAGGCTAACTGATATTATTAAATGTCTGTCCTTTTTGTCGAACCTGCGACTTTTGTCGCAAAAGCGAGACATAGCGATCCTACATTCCGTCGTCGACGTCGTCGTCGTCGTCGTCGGCGTCCACAAATATTCACTCTGTGGTTTAAGTTTTTGAAATTTTAATAACTTTCTTAAACTATCCTGGATTTCTACTAAACTTGGACAGAAGGTTGTTTATGATCATAAGATAGTATCCAGAAGTAAATTTGGTAAAAAAAAATCCTGTTTTTCCGTATTTTACTATTAATGAACTTAGTTTTTCTGCCAGTTAACATTACATTCACTCTGTGGTTAAAGTTTTTAAAATTTTAATAACTTTCTTAAACTATCCTGGATTTGTACCAAACTTGGACAGAAGCTTGTTTATGATCAAAAGTTAGTATCTAGAAGGAAATTTTGTAAAAAAAATATTTCCTGTTTTTCCGTATATTACTTATAAATGGACTTAGTTTTTTCCAGTTAACATTGCATACAGTCTGCAGTTAAAGTTTTTGAAACATTTATTAGATTCATAAACCATCCTGGATTTTTACCAAACTTGGATAGAAGCTTCGGACAATAAAAAGATAGTATCTAGAGGAAAATATTTAATAATGTTTCCCCATTTTTGTTGAGCCTGCGACTAACAGCAAAAGTAGGCGAGACACTGGGTTTCGCGGAACCCGTACGAATTTTTATACTTATCCTACATGCTCCCTCTTCAGTAACACATACATGTGGTTCCACACGTGGAAGGATGAACTTTGTTTTAAATATGTCTAACTTAGATATGTTTGTTTCTTATAAAGGCGCATTTTTATTGTACAAATGTATTGATTTTCCGCTAAAAATATATTGTTTTGAGATTTTTTTTAAATATCAGTATAAAAAGATAATAAAAATAAGATTTCAATAGATATTCTGATAAAAAAAACTAAAGACTCAATGAGTATAACTGAATGGTTTTTTAAAGACCAATCCCAAGGAATTATTCTTCACGGATATATTTATATTGTCATTGCAATAAATCAAAATATTGTTTTTTTAACTTACGGGACAAAATAATTGACCACAGGTGTTTAAAAACCACGGCTACATTGCTTTACATATAAACAATTTTACACACTGTGTTTATTGATCGTTGGGATCGAAATACACGTCTAATATTGTTTTAACATATACTGGTCTTTTATTAAATTTGGTATTGAAATTTACTAAGAGGTCATAACAAATGTTATAATAAAACGCATGTTTAAAAATTGTATCAATATTGAAGGCATGAAATTGTTGTTATTGGGTAGGAAAAGAGGTTGACACATACATAAACTTACTATAACGTTCTTTTGATCTGTGACAGGTGGGTAGACAAGAGTCTCCATATGCTCTTGTTTTCTAGTGTAAAACTAAATTATTTATCTATGTTTTCCATAAATATGCATGCACAAGAGGCAACAGTAGATTACCCATGTTTAAATCTAGAAACTCCATTTGAATATACAAATCAAGAAAAAAAAAATGAAGCATGTTAAATTAGTAGGTTGTGGCTAATTCCTTCTAATTGAATAAAGTAACATCGATTTTAAGTGGAACATTGTTTTAACGTTAATTTAACTTCAATCAAAAATTGTTTGCTAGTCCATTCATTGTGATTAATGAGAGATATCAGTGGTTTCCCAACATTTTATTATTATGGGGAGATAATATAATTCGGGTTTCATAAGTTCAAATGCTTTATGTAGGTTTCAATTATAATTTCTCACTAAAGCGTTTAAAAAAAAATGAAGTTCCTGGAATAAAGAAATCGTGTTTTCTTTGTGTGCATATGGTATGTGTTTGTGTTTTGGAAAAGGGGGTTGTTACGCATTATACATTTATTTGTCTTTAGGGAATAAAGTAATGTAAATAAATCAAGAAAATATGTCTGCTTCATTTGAATTCTGACATAATTATATATGTTACAGGCATTTTCTAAATTAAGGCATTTACACTTTAGGTATTTTCTAAAATTCCTGGACGATTAAGGCATTTTACATAATGACTAATTTTTCTAGGCATTTTACAAAATGCCTAAATTTAGAAAATGTCTGTAACATATACACCATGTACACCATATCAAACCAATAAATGTTTGCTTTAACAAGTAGTAGAATCAATGCTGTTGGAGGTTAGATGATTCGGAAAACATTTTAAAACAGTGTATTCTTGACAGCAGAATGACTACATATGTCAAATTAAACATGTGTTCTTCACCTGAATAATTTACATAAAAATAATATCCAGAGATGAATCATATGATCTTGTTCCAGTAGTGTTCTTAAATTCAAGTTAACTTGTTGATACATCACATGGAAACACGTTGATGAAATCAATTGATTGTCTGTTTGGTTGAATACAAATTAACATATAATGATGATCATAGTCTTTTGTCAGGTTATATACATGAATGAAAGCGAGCATCTTGTAGGAAAGTCTTGTCAAGTTTTCTATGCGATAAACTCTTTATATAAAGTTACGCACATTGTTACTTGCACCAGCGTTTATTCACTCATTGATATACAAATTATAAAATGCATGAAATTATTCCATAAAATGTATTGCTGTATTATATGTGTAAAGATATTTTACTTAATTTTCAGAAGACTCATAATCATATGTAGAGTTGAATAACAGTCACAAGGACATTGTTTCTTCAAACCGTTGGTTATTATATTCATAAGAGATGTTCATCCTATTATTTTTCAAATGGACAAATTACGACACGTGTCGATGAAAACTCATTAGTTAATTACATATAAACGTTTTGAGTGTTCTCAACGTGATTGAATGGCTTGCTCGGTCTTTGCAACGCATGACAGATTTTAATATAATAGCTGCTTCATTGATAATATATATTCTTTGTCCCTTTTGGTAATATACGAAGAATAAAACGAAAACACAAAATTGTCAAAAATGATATTGAATCCTTTCCGATAACAAAATATATCCTCATTTGTCATTGCCTCATAAATATGTTTTTCTAACTTAAGGCCTTCCTGTCGCGATTGGTGCTTATTCCTTTACAAAAGAAGCAGCCTTGCGGAACGAACTGTTTGTAACCAACAGCTATAATAAGTTAGCAAGGCCGGAAACGGGTGTGACAATAACCATGCAACTGAATCTGCTGACTCTAAAGGAACTGGTTAGTATGTTTCACCTTTCCAATATATGATGCTGATTATTTGCTGCTTTATATCGAACGGAAAATATGACACTAGCTGAAACTAAAATTTTATACAAAAACCATCTCAAAATAATCACAAACTAAATGCTTAAATTGTGAAGATTTCAGTAATTTTTACTGAATTAATGATGCTAGTGCAAGATGCATGTGCACTGTTTTGTCAAAAACAGCCCATGTTTATGTAGCAAAAGAATTCTTCTTTCCAATAAATAGCTCAAAGTTTACATTTTTATCAAAATTTTGAAATGCTATATTTTGGGGCTAAAAAGAGGTCTTACCAGACTGCTCCTTTATTTACAACATAAACAGCCCGGGGACAATGTAGATTTAGTGTGAACCATCATTTGTCATACTGCTGATAACGTTGTTTGTGTTGCTAGGAACGATGCTAGGTTGCAATTTTATTGACATTTACTTTTTCATTTATTCATAATTGCCATTCAAACTTCTTTTTGGACAACACCTAGATTTTGAATTATATAATTATTGTCCTAAAATTTATTTGGAAAAAAAATCTCGCTGCCCATTTACAGATGGTTCGGAATCGTTTAAAACGATGAACAACGATCACAATGATGTCTGAGGAAAAAAATAACATTTTAACTTTTGTACAATTAACAAGAATCATAATTTAAGTCTTTTATTTATAATTACACATGAACAAAAGTCATTAAACAAATAAAAGGTGTTCAATAAATAAAAGGAAGGCTGTAGAAACTCATTAGAGATACCAGGCATACAATTTGCTACCCCCAGGCGTTCGTTTCGTCTACATAAGACTCATCAGTGACGATTGAATCAACACAGTTGGAAAACTAAATAAATTGTAGACGGGTTCTACATTATCTATCAATGTCTTCATAAATGATATTGTAAAAAATTTTGAGGGAAATGATTCAAGTCCCCTTAAGCTTATAAATAGTAAGGTGGGATGCCTCCTTTTTGCAGATGATCTTTTGATCCTGTCAGAATCGAAAGAGGGTCTTCAAAACAGTTTAAATAATGTTAAATTATATTGCAACAAATGGCAACTCTCTTTAAATACAAACAAAAAAAAATCCATGATTTTCAGTCAGTCCAAACAAAATGGTGAAACATCACATATTTACTATGAGAATGAAGCCATAGAGAGCGTATCAGAATATTCATTTTTGGGAATGTTGATAAAATGAAATGGAAATTTATCACAAAGTACCTTAGAGCTGACAAAAAAGGCAAAAAAAGTATTTTTTGCAATAAAATCCTATACTAATTCATTGAATAATCTACCTATAAAAGTAGCAAATAACCTTTTTGATTCTTTAGTAAAACCAATTATGACCTATAATTCAGAAGTAACATATTTGGATACATATATTTCTTTTCATAGAGCCAAAAACAGAGCCTTATCTTCAGGAAAACAAATTAATCAACTTGATTTTACAGACAAAACCCCTATTGAAAATATGCATCTAAAATTTTGTAAATCTACTCTAGGAATAAGAAAAAATGCATCCAATTTAGGAGCAAGAGTTGAATTAGGAAGATTGCCTATAGAATGTTTTATTAAAACACAAACCCTTTTATATTTAGCTAGACTATATAATAATAATATTAATCTATTGATAAAGGAAGCTTTTTCTCTAGCACAGTCTCTAGATTTGACTGGAACTTATTCATGGTATACATATGCAAAAAATATTGTTGAAGAGACTAATATTGACCTTAATATTTTTTTCTAATTGTAAGGACATAAAAGATGTAAATAAAATGAAAAACGATATAAAGTTAAAAATGAAAAATAAATATGAAGATTTAATTGAAACTAAATTTGAAAACATTGATGATAAAAGTAAATTTTATCTATATAAAAAACTTAAAAAGGATTGCAAACTAGAATCTTATCTAAATATATCTAATTTTCAGATAAGGAGATTGATCACTAAATTTAGACTAAGTGATCACTCCCTCTTAATTGAAAGGGGAGATATTTTAAAATCCCAAGAGAGGAACGACTTTGTCATAAATGTAAAATACTAGAGGATGAGAAACATTTTTTACTCTATTGTGATTATAATAAAACACTAAGAAATGCCTTTTTTGAACACATATGTACTGAAAATAATAACTTTAATAATTTAAATGAAGAAGAAAAAATTCATTATTTACTAAATCCATCAACGCCTTTACAAACAAATAAGTTAGGATCCTTCTTGAAAAAGTCATTAGAACTGAGGGCAGGGGACTCTTAACAACTTGTTTGTTTTTATAAATTTTGATGCTGTTTTTATTGTGTTTGTTTGATATGTATGTATATATGTTTATTGTGTTAATACATGTTGGTCACAAACTGTAAAGTTTATAAGACAATAAAAATATTTGATTTGATTTGATTTGAAATAAAAATAGATCCAAGATTATTTTCATAAGAACGACCACAACATGAAAGAGGATTTCTGCCAATGGCTTTACCAAAGAAAAGAACATTAATCTGATTGCTGAGGTAGTTCTATCGTTTTTAATTTTTCTTTCTTCTTTGCAGAATATCCGTGACCAATATCTGACTGTGGTAGGATACTTTGTCATGGTAAGTTTCTGTATAAGAATAATTAAGTCTGGCAATTTTGTTGACACTTTAAATTTTGTCAACATTTTCGCTCGGATTCTACCGAATCGGTTATTTTTTTACTAGAAGGGCGATTCTCACATAAGATATTTGTTTTCAATATTTTTTTTAGAGAACTTATCTCTTCCGACATTTTTATCGAGACCATTAGACGACATAGAACTCTGTATTTGTATATTTTTAATTGAAGAACTACATTATAAAAGAATCATAACATTACATTTGTAATTTGTCTTGGTTTCAAATATGTAGAGATATACAAATTATTGACCTTTTACTATGGAATTCAGCGAATTTAGATAATATTCATCATACAATAAGCGATGAAAATAAAAAATACTAACATAAATTGCCAGAGAGCATGATTTGTTGTTATCTGATTCGTGTTGTTTCTTTTTTTTTAACATTTAGTACGGATTGCATGGAAAATGATTCAAAGTTTTGACAGGCAGCTTTTGTATGAAGAGATATTCAAACATCAGAACAAAATCATTACATTATCTACCTTCAATTCACTTACACTGCCTTATAAAATATGACACACGAGGAGCAGGATCTGCGTACCCCTCCGGAGCACCTGAGATCAACTCCATGTTTTGGTGGGGTTCGTATTGCTCAGTGTTTGGTTTTCTATATTGTTTTGTGTCATGTCGTTGTCAGTTTATTTTCGACATACAATTTGAATGTCTCTTTTGTATCCTTCGCCTCTCTTTTACAGAGATGGGATGAGACTAGCAGGTTAAAATGGAGTACTAATCCGACATATAGCAGCGACATCCAAAACATATTTTGTACGGAAAATGAAATATGGGTACCACCTCTGATGATTGAAAACTCGTAAGTTAATTAGGAGATAACTGTGTTGTATATTTGTCTCGGACGCCATCAATTGGTGTTTTGATGATCGCAAATTAAGTTCAATGGTGGCGACACGTGAATTGATGCATTAAAAATTGGTGACGTTTTCCAATCAAAATGAACGTTACAAACGATGTTGCATAAAAATTAAGATTCTAACATTACATATTGCCCCAACATAGCTAGAATATCATATACTGTTGATGATGTGTAAGTTTATCAAATCTACGTTTAAGTCGAAGTGTCTTTTCGCTTCTAACAATGAAGGAATAAATTATTAAAGTTAATCAGTCTTTTGTTTTCTTTGTAATGTTTATTTTTTGGATTTTCGTCATTTTTTATATGTGACCTTGTCTGTTTTTCATGTGTTCGTACTTTGCAACCTTTGTATCTTCTCCCTGGTTTTACATCTATAAAGAAACAAGCGACCAAACCAGCTCTAGAAATGGCTTGATGCTGCTGATAATTTATCAAAACCGTATAAAATTAAGATTCTAACATTACATATTGCCCCAACATAGCTAGAATATCATATACTGTTGATGATGTGTAAGTTTATCAAATCTACGTTTAAGTCGAAGTGTCTTTTCACTTCTAACATTGAAGGAATAAATTATTAAAGTTAATCAGTCTTTTGTTTTCTTTGTAATGTTTATTTTTTGGATTTTCGTCATTTTTTATATGTGACCTTGTCTGTTTTTCATGTGCTCGTACTTTGCAACCTTTGTATCTTCTCCCTGGTTTTACATCTATAAAGAAACAAGCGACCAAACCAGCTCTAGAAATGGCTTGATGCTGCTGATAATTTATCAAAACCGTATACATATAGATTCTTACATTGATACCAGTGGATTATCGGATTTATCTAATCGAGATAGTTAAATTGTCAATTTTAAAGTCTGAGCCTCGGCGAGGACTTTAAAATTTATTATTTAATTATCGAGATTGGATAAATCTGATAATCCACGAGTAACTATGTAAGAATCTGTTTCTCTAATGATTAAAAATAAATTTTATTTTTTTTGTTAAACTAAAATCCCCTTCGAGTGCCTTCCACATTTCACAAAGTTGTCAATTTCATTAACACCTGTTAGCATATGTTGATGCATCCAGTGAGCTGATAAAGGTTGAGAACCTTAAACTCATCCAATCATCTTCTGAGATCACCGGCAATCACACGTTGTTTAAATTGTTTTCTCTAATTCTTCGTTAATTTATCCATTTCTGCACCCATTGTATAAAAAAAATTTATTCAACGTGTGGTTCGTTTGATCTCAGTTTCTTCATTGGTTAAAATCCGATTATGACGTCGAATTTTCTTGCTTTCCTCTGAATTTCCTATTGTGACGGCATAAAAAAAAGGCGACCATGCCTGATGACGTCACATAGAAAGAACACATCTTTTTGCAGATCATTCGAAAAGAAGGAATAAATTTGCCTGCGTATTGTTTGAAAATCATTAGAGAAACATTCCACCACCAAATCTTGTGTAATACGATATTTATCCACTCTTGACAGTTACAATTTAAATATTTAAAACGCTCGGCGAGCCTCGCGTTTTAAATTTGAAAATTTAACTGTCTCGAGTGGATAAATATCATATCACACTCGATGCAGTGGTAGAATCTATATTTATCAACTTTAGTAATTCTATGGAAACATGACTGAATCAATTATATTTTTGATTATTTGTTATTATCTCCTATTAATCAAAATACAACTTCAACATATTATCACTTATTTTAGAATCCACACGTTGGTGTTATGATAAACCTTGAACTATTATTCTTCTTTATGCACTTAAATTAACACTGTTTGCAGTATTTGTAGTTTTCTAGGAAGAATAGAAAGATGCGAATATTATCCTTTAACTTCGAGTTCCGCTATAAATATTTCCTCTCTCTAAATGATTTGGTGAATATGTTGACCGCATCTATTCCATCGAACGTAAAATAAAGGATACAACACATACAGTTAAGGCTGCAACATTACTTGACTAACATCTAGAAATTGACAATGATGGTGGGTTGAGAACACAACTTTACTACAGAAGAGATGAGTTCAGCCTCTCAACTGTAAACTTTCCATTTCAATGTAGTAACAATCAAGCAGGGCCTGCTTACGGAGTATATATCGCCCAGTTGATACGATATTTCAGTGCTTACATTTCTTGTCATGATTTCTATGATAGAGGGTTGCTGTTTACAAGGAAGCCCTTAAACCAAATGTTTCAAGTGGTGACGTCGAACACATCCCTTCAAAATTTTACTGACGCCATCACGTAATGGCTGACCGTTAGTGAATATCTGTTTCACAGATGACAACGAATATGTCCCAAGTTTATATTTACACGAGCATCACGGCGGATGCCACATTTAGACTATGACACTTCTAGAGCACTTCAGACTATTCCAACTGTGTGGCTTGTAATGCTCAGTCTTTACTTTCCTGTTTTGTGTTTTGTATACTGTTGTTTGTCTTTTCGTTGTTGTTTTGTTTTGCCGGTCAGTCTTTTTTCCGAATAATCAGTTGGCATGTCCCTTTGGTATCTTTTGCCTCCTTCGTCTAAACTGTGTGAATATCCTATCATGACAGTTATTTTTTCTGTACAAGAAAAATCGAATAAAACAGGTAATTACTTTCCTGTTAAAGGTTAAATATAATATACATCGTATGATCGCAGATATGAAAATGAAATGATTTGCATTTTGCTTCTCTTTGTTGAAATAGTTGTTTGTTTTATAGTGATTAATATGATTACACAATATTGACTGCTGTACTACAATTTTTGACATGTTTACCTATTATGTCTCTTTGTTTTGAGCCACTGGACGTTAAGCAACCAACAATCAATCAATCTTTGTTTTGATCACACATTGTTGTCAATACAATGAAATTCTATGCGATTGTCATACAAGTGAGAGGTTTAGTTACTTAAAATCCAGGAGTAGTTCACCATTTTCTACATAAAGAAATGGCTGTACCAAGTCAGGAATATGACAGTTGTTATTATTCGTTATATTTGTTTGAGCTTTTGATTTTGCCATTTCAAAACGCACTTTCTGATTTGAATTTCAATTGGAGCTCGTTATATTTGGTATTTTACTTTTTCTATGGTACAACTGTAAGAATAAGTTCTAGGATAGAACTGTGAGAAAAAATTATATCGACAGTTCTAGAGTAGACCTGTAAGAATAAGTTCTAGGGTATAGTATAACATTTAGAATAAGTTCTAAGCCAGAACGGTATTAATCAGTTCTAGGGTATAGTATAACATTTAGAAAAAGTTCTAGGGCAGAATGGTATTAATCAGTTCTAGGGAATAGTATAACATTTAGAATAAGTTCTAGGGCAGAACGGTATTAATCAGGTCTAGGGTATAGTATAACATTTAGAATAAGTTCTAGGGCAGAACGGTATTAATCAGGTCTAGGGTATAGTATAACATTTAGAATAAGTTCTAGGGCAGAACGGTAATAATCAGTTCTAGGGTATAGTATAACATTTAGAATAATGCTAGGGCAGAACGGTATTAATCAGTTCTAGGGTATAGTATAACATTTAGAATAAGTTCAAGGGCAGAACGGTATTAATCGGTTCTAGGGTATAGTATAACATTTAGAATAAGTTCTAGGGCAGAACGGTATTAATCAGTTCTAGGGTATAGTATAACATTTAGAATAAGTTATAGGGCAGAGCGGTATTAATCAGTTCTAGGGTATAGTATAACATTTAGAATAAGTTCTAGGGAAGAACGGTATTAATCAGTTCTAGGGTCAGTTCTAGGGTAGAACTTTAAGAATAAGTTCTAGGATAGAACTGTAAGAATGAGGTTTAGCGTAGAATGGTATCAATGAGTTCTGTGGCAGAACTGTAAGAATACGTTCAAGGTTAGAACTGTTAGAATAAGTTCTAAGGCAGAACGGTATTAATCATGTCTAGTGTCAGTTCTAGGGTAGAACTGTAAGAATAAATCCTAGGGTAGAACTGTTAGAATAAATTTTAGGGTAGAATCGTTAGAATACGTTCTATGGTAGAACTGTAAGATAGAACTGTACAACACTGTTCTAGGTTAGAACCTCAAACAAGAGGATTGTTCTAAAGACAGTTCTTGAAATGTTTTTTTAAATGTCCTAGTAGAGGCTTTAGAACTGATACCAACTATATATATGTCATAGCGAATAATGTTGGGTTATCGTGAAATCAAATTTAGGGAGGTCAGCCAAAATATGAAGTATAGAGAAAGTGCATAAAATTACATTATTATGAAAGAGCACAAAAAAAGAAATTGCAGACAACAGTACAAAATATTAAATTAACTGTACATTCCTAATATAGGCATTTCCTTATGTAGAAAATTGTGGATTAAACCTGGTTCTATAGCTAGCTTAACCTCTTACATGTATGATAGTCGCATTGAATTCCATTATGTTTGACAACAATGTGTTAACAAAACAAGCACACATAATAAGTAATAAATGTCGAAAAATGTGTTGCAGCAGTCAACATAGTTATTTAATCGTAATCACTATAAAAACAGATAACAAAGAAACACAAAATGGCATATAGACAATGTACATAAGCAAACATGAAAGACAAGAATTCAAAAAAAGAAATTATCTAAGATTTGATAATTGAGTGTTGCTTGCTTAACATCTAGTGGCAAATATATATCAAGGAAGAGAAAATTAAAATATTGCTATTATTGCAATTGGAAGGATCTGCATTTAGGCCCAGCGAAATATAAGGCGATAACCTTGAATGTCAACTTGAAAATAAGTGTATGTTGATAAGGGCATAAATATTGCCTTACCACATGGCACTTACGGACCTCTCAGAGAGTTGTTGTAACGATTCGTTATCGTACATATATTTCATGCCGTCATAAGTTTATCTCTTGACTTTGAATTACGTATCATCATTACATAATCATAATTTTTCTGTCATTTTTATTCAATCGAACAGTTATATAAGCTACACTTAGGAAACAGAAACCTTACATCATCCAAAAAAAAAAACACAATGAAGATTGACTAAGAAATCAATTTAGTGTCTTTGACAATACACAAGTGTCTGTATTATTTGTCAAACTGTAAACTATTCCGTATTCATAGGCGGATCTAGGGGGGGCTGGGGGGCCCGCCCCCCCCCCCTTTTGTGGGAAAAATTTGGTTGATTATATAGGGAATCACCGAAGCATGACTGGAGCGAGCGCCCCCCCCCCCCCCCCCCCCCCTTAGGTCAGTCAGCGGGCCCCCCTTATGAAAAGTTCTGGATCCGCCACTGGTATTCCCTAATCTAGAAAACGTATGTAATAAGTCTACCCTATTATTATCGCACTCAGTTCTTTTTGAATTAGCAATAATTTTGTGAGCATTGGCTGTTTTTTACTCATTAGTTTTTATGTGTGTAAAAGTGTGCGAGTGTTAAAGCACAAGACAGAAAGAGAGAAAAAATACAATTTAATTTTTTTGTGTTTAGGGTAGACAACGTCGGTGTTATTAGTGACAACACAGTCCGAATACGTGTGGCTGCCAATGGAAAGGTTACTTGGTCTCCTGCAGATATGTTCACTACTAGTTGTGTTACAGACGTCACTTATTATCCATTTGATACCCAAACATGTGATATCATTGTGACGTCTTGGGGATATACTAAAGCTGAAATGCAATTTCAAGTGGATAGTTATGTTCCTTTAGGAGTGTCAAATTATCAGGAGAATGGCGAATGGAAATATATAGGCTATACTGTTACCAATGGGGTAGAAAATCGCGAGGCTGTAAAGTTTTTCCAAATAATTTACAGCCTTACTTTCAAACGACGATCTGAGTTTCATATATTAAACAGCATTGCGCCAATGGTTTCTATTTCACTGCTTGCTTGTTTTGTTTTCAAACTTTCGGCGGATGCAGGAGAAAAGGTTGGATTTAGCCTGACTATCTTACTGACGTCTGCTGTATATTTGACTCTGGTCTCCGATAGCATACCAACAACTTCATTGACGACTCCATATCTCAGTAAGTATTACACTAAGTCTAAATTACCAGTTGAACAGCTATATACATTCTAATAAAAAGTGTCCAATGATAAAAGATATGGCTACTGCAATCGACATTTGGAAAAGCCTTCAACAAGAACCCTACTCTTAATTTTTATTTAATATTGAGTAAGTATGATACGCAACTCACTTCTTAATGGAGCACAGTTTTTATATTAAAGTAAAGAAATGGTTGTGATTGTAATTGCAACAATTATAAACTACCGAAGACCATTAAAAGTTCATCGTAAGGTTTTCAACAATATGCAGAACCTAAACCGTATAGTAAGCCTCGTCATGGATCTGGACGACAAAATATCTTAAAATAGTTGAAAAAACTTACAGCCTGAATAAAACTTAAAACATCAAACAAAAACAATTAAAGCAGACGTAAATCGGTTTAAGACAGGTACATGATATTGACAATGCAATGGTCGCGTTATTATTAACCGATCAATACGCAAAACTTGAGCGTGGTTTTAAATTTTGGTGTTATCCGTACCTAATGCTTTACTTTCGGGTTTTGGATATCCGACTGTTTTGGCTTAGAGCATCACTAAAAAGATTTAATTGTTTAAATGCGAATATGGTGCAGTCAAATTAGTACCGTTATTGTATACATGTACTTCATGTTTTTTGTTGTACAATTTTATCTGTAATCAACGTCAATTATTATTTGACAACGATGACATTTCACTATAGCCTTTAATTTCTCATTGCGTTGTATTGTTATTTCAGCCACCTATCTTATCTCTCTTCTGGGCATGGAAATAGTTTCAGTCATATTAACTGTTATGATTCTGGATTGTTATCACACAGATGGCAGCACTGAGATACCAAAATATCTCAGATTGTTCATGGAGAAGATAATATCCAGACTGATATGTTGGAAATGTAAATCTGGTTGTAGTTTAAAGCAATCAAAGAACGGGAACAGTGTAATGGATATATCTGAGTTAAAGTGTGATAAAGAAATTGACTGTTATAGCGTTGACAACAATGAGGAATTGTCTTGGCAAAACATTGCAAAAATGCTCGACATTTTTTGTTTCCGACTGTACTTAATTGCTTTCATTGTCATCACAGTACTATTCATACTCAAGATGTTGATTTAAAAGGCTCTGTTTTACACCGGTTTATGAGGATAAAAACACTCCAATAACATGCATTGAAAAAAAATCTTCAAACATATCAGGCCTACTTTTTAAATCAATTAGACGCGTTAAAGTTATTCAAAACTCATCAGAGGCGCTCCAATTAAAACAGGAGGAGGAACAAGTCAATTAAAGATATGAAGAGAATGTCAAACAAGAAACTTCAAAAGGCTGTTATTTTAGTAATAAGATTACTTCAAGTCTTCGTTTTAATTTAAGAAGTTAAAATACTTCTTACAATGAAGTTATTTGAAATAAGACATGTTTATGTTACGCATTTATATTGATTATAAATTTCTTATATGAAATTCTCTCGTGATATCCATAGTGATATATCTATTGCCTTAACCTTAACGACTCCTTAACCACAAAGTCTAGTCAAAATAAGCGAAGCTATCACTGGTCATCCATAAAACGTCAAAATAAAAATACTACTTCAGGAAACGTTAAGGTCTTTATATTGATTGACTCGTAATTATAGATAATCTTGTTTATCTACTCGAACAATGTTAGTCAAATGTTGTGCCGAGAGGCGGATAAAAACTTATGCAAATTATGTGCAAGTTTAAATAAATTGGTATTGAAATTTGTAACAAGAATTAAAATCTTAAATTTAAACACATTGGATCGATATAACCCATCACATAGTACGCCGAATTAGGAAGTCCATGAACCCGAGAGCGATAGTAAAATACTAATTGTATCAGAGACACATAGTAAAGTCTTACTTTTATGATAATAATCATTAAAATAGTTGTAAATAGTAAACAAATGTTTATCTCATTAAGAGAAGAAGTTATTGGTTAAGGTAGACTATGTACTTAGCCCAATGGATCTGGAATATAAATAGATTATAAAAAACACTCGCCTCGTATATTCTTGCTTCACTAGAATGTAAAACCAGAAACCCCGAAGTGAGTGTGTAATATTCAGAGAATACCCGGAAGTGAGTATGTAATATTCAGAGAATACCCGGAAGTGAGTGTGTAATATTCAGAGAATACCCGGAAGTGAGTGTGTAATATTCAGAGAATATAATAACATTTATACTGATTGAAGCCAAAGAGATACATATAGATTCCACCACTGCAACCAGTGTGTTACAATATTTCTCCGCTCGAGACAGTTAAATCTTAATATTCAAAGCGCGAGGCTTGCCGAGCTTTGTAAACTATTGAGAGCGGAGAAATATCGTAATACACGAGTTATCGTGGTGGAATCTGTTCCTCTAATGATTTGTATCCTTCCTTTTCAAAGACTTGCAAAAAGTTGTGTTCTTTAAATGTGACGTCATCAGACATGGTCGCCTTTTTCATGATGTTATAATAGGAACTTCAGAAGAAACCAAAAAATTGACGTCATAATTAAATTTCGACCAATCATTTACCGATAACAGATATTTCACTAGTGATGATAAATATTTTTTCTCATACCGATCAAGAAATGTGAAAATAGCACAAAAATTAAAGAAAGTCAATTCTAAAACTGTGAATTAGCCAGACGAAAAACTACAATGAAATTTCTTAGAAATGAGACAAGTCGTAGTATAATGACACAAACATATGATAATTAAGAATGTGGAAAACTATTATTCCTCGGAGTTTGTTTTTTTGTTTTTGTTTATTTGTTATTTTACTTTTTTCATCATTCAAAAAAAGTTTTGTCAAGATATTATTTGTGAATCTTACGACCGAACGCCCGGACAGCCGGACGTCTTTCGTCGTAATATAAACCGAGTTTAACTTTGTAGCAACGAACCCTGATACATTATTCGTGTGGAGGTCCAAGGTCAGGAGCCTGTGGTGCATGATCAGTGGTCGTTTATTGCTGTTTATCATATATGTGTTTTTCGTTTTATTTGTTTTTTTATTGTTTTGTACAGTTTGTTCTTGTGTTGTGCTATTGCACCGCTGTCCAAACTTCGGAGGAGTTTGGCGCATGATAACGTTGACTTTGTTGTTATAGTCTATGAAAGTCCTGACACAAAGCTTTAAAATGAGCATATCTGGGATATAAGGTCGTCGTGTACGCCAGAGAGTACCAAGAATGACAGACTAGTACAAAATCAAACTCAACATTTGAACCATGGATTAACACCCGTAAATGTTTAAACGATGATCTATCTCGGAAATGAAACCGTGTTTGTTGTAACCACTGATCTTCATACCTCGGGAAATATATTTTGATCTATTGCACTGTTACACATTCTATAACTGTTTTATTACCTAATACATACTGAGTCAGTTCTAACAAATTCTTAGTAATAAAACACATTTATTACCTAATACATATTGAGTCAGTTCTAACAAATTCTTAGAAATAAAACACATTTCTTCCTTGGAGAACCTTCGAAGTCATTGAATAATATGTGCTTTTGGTAACAGTAATCTCTGAGAAATTTCACCGACATTTTGACCACATTTTTTGTATTTTTAGCGTCCCTATTCTCAAGTAAATCATTTAAGTCTCCATCATCAACATTTGCATACCGCTCCATCGCGGAAGTTATTTGCAGACGATCAAAACAATAAACCCAAGAACGTTTAAAAGACCCAATTTGATTGGACAACATGAATACCTTTCAACTAATCAGATTTCAGAATAAGAGGTCATAACAGGTCAGTGCAATAGACTGCACACAGGTGCAATAGAACGATAATTTCCAGTGCAATAGACCATGGAACAAAAAATGGCTGAAAAATAGCAAATAATAAAGAAATATTAATAAAACAGTAAAATACTCTTAATTAGGTAATAATCTCGTTTACCAGATATGAAAAGAATTGTAATATTGCACTTTTCTACTTGTAAGCACCCAAAATTGACCATAGTTTAATTTTATGGCCCTAAGCATCTTTTTCTTATTAACTAAATTCGTTATTTTGTTCAAACTTTTATGGCCTAATTCATATATGTTCGGGGCAATAATAATGTTACATGGTTTAAGATTTTGGTTTGTGAGAAACATCAGGGAAATGCGATACTTTTTTACCAGGTGTAAAGTATCCGTCAATGATATCAAAATAAAATCTGTAATGATTTCTCGTGAGAAAAAAATATATGTTTAATTTTTTATCTGTATAAAGTAAATGTACATATAGTTTTGTTTTTGTCAGATTAGTGCTCTCACGACAGTTAAGGCACGTATTAAAAATATGTATGAACGATTTCCTGATCATTAGGGTTTAAAACTATTTTATAGCCTTGGCTAAAATGTGTTTTTGTGAGACAATTTGTCTTTCGAAAGATCTAAGTGTAACTATACATCAAAAGCTCGTCTATGTACAATTTGTACACAAATCTAACTAAAAACTGGGGGTGATCTCAGGTGCTCCGGAAGGGTAAGCAGATCCTACTCCACATGCGAACCCATCGGTTGCTCATGCTAGTACAGACCCGGTAACAAGCCTAATTCGGTAGGTCATTTTCGTGAACAGGGGACAGCGACTCTTTTCACAAAATATCTTACGATTAAAATTGATCGTAAGTTATACTGAAATGTTTATGACTTACGAGTATTTTTTCTCGTAAGATTTTTTTGTGAAAAGAGCCCCAGGATTGTAGAACTTTACGACATTAGAAACCTATCCGCTATCATCTGTGAAACGGATATTCCATAACGGTCAACCAACTCGTGATGGCGTCCGTAAAATTTACAAAGGGATGATTTCAACTTCACCAATTGGAACTTTTGGTTTAATAGCTTCTTTGTGAGCAGCAACCCTTTATCAAGGAAATCATGATAGGAAATACTAACCCGGGAATATCAATTGGGAGATATATAATCCGTATGCAGGCGCTGCTGGAATGTTGCAATTGGGAAGCTGAAATCATCATTCTCTTTTGTCGTAAAGTTTTGTCTTCAACCGACCCTCATTCTAGATGTAGGTCAAGATATGAGGCAGACCTGACGTATCCGTTGTATCCTTTTTCTCAAGTTTGAATGGGATAGATGCGTTCAACATAGTCCCTAAATTTTGAATTATTTTGTGAGAGAACATCATGTATATAGATATAAAGTTAAAGGATACTGCTAACTTCTTTTTCCATAAAAGTTCCCGTAAGAAGTCAGCCTCAAGAATAAAGGAACAAGTCGGCAAGAAAAGGGGCACAGTTGAATCCCATGGGAATGATGATAGTTTGATAAAAAAAAAACGTCCACCAAGCGGGGCGTTGGTCACGAGATATAAAAAAAATATAATATGATTTTTTTTGTTCAATCATTAATGAAAGCGAAATAGTGAAATAATAATTCGCTTTTAGAAGCCAATAGGGTTCAATTTTGTTAAAATAAGCTAAGAAACATTGGTGATGATGTATTCACTTGCAAGTAAATAATTCGACCTCATTGAATCCGTATTCAATTATACAATTAATTGTATAGAGTGCAGTCAGGCTTTCGCGCAAACCATTCTTGTCAAACTGCGTTAACAGCTTTAATTGATGATGACGATCTTGTTGGGGCAGCAGTGTTTCTATTTATCTAGCAAAAGCCTTTGATCTTCTCAATCATGAACTGCTTATGCAAAAATTAAACAAATACAAATTTGATTATACTTTAGTATGTTATAAATCAAATATGAGAATTTGAGTGATATCTGTGAACATGAATTTGACAGCTAGTGCCCTTTTAACGAAATATGGTATGGTGTTGGTGACAGATTATGGAAGTCATGAGAATATTTCCACAAGTAGTCTAGTCTATAGACGATTCAGGGTGACATATATACGGTATTGACGCATACCTATTGTTGAAGACCATATGGATATATTACCCTCTAGTTTCAGGAATCTTTTGTATCGGAATTGCGTATTTTGTCACTGAAATTACAGTCTAAATAGCAACTGTGTCATTTGTTGGATTTTATAATCATTAAAGATTCTGAATAGACTGTGTTTTATAGCTCGAATAATATATACTTTTTAATGAAATCAACATTACAACTTATTTCGCTTGTAAGACATAGTAATGCCTTTATACAACATGAGAGCTCCTCGTAGCAGTAAATATAAGGAAAATAAGACCACAGCAAAGTTGTGGTAGGTTCGTAGTGTCCCCAGTATAATAAGTGACAACACTTCTTTTGGAAAAACAATAAGTGTTTACAGTGAACAAAAATAAAATACAAAATGTTTATACTATATATATTGTTTTATTAACAACTGAATTGTTACAAAAAATAATCTCATGTCAGTCTATGATGATGACCCAGAATAATATCTTCTACCAAAACTACGTCTGAAGCTGGATCGACGATACCCGCCATTGTTACCAAAGCCTGATCGACGGAACCCACCGTTGTTACCAAAGCTTGATCGACGAAAGCCACCGTTATTACCAAAGTTTCTCCTATTACCAAATCTATTGCCAAAGTTATAGTTTAGAGGTTTATTAGCTTCAACAGATGAACCAGTGAACAATAAAACCGTGAAAATAACTCCTAGCAGCATAAGTAGAGTTTTCTGAAAATAAAATAATGAAACATAATGTCATTCAACGTATTTAATTTGACGTAAGGTGGTAAATAACACTGCAGGGAAATAACTCTTTAAAAATCAGCTAAACGTTTTAATTACGTTCTTTTGTTAAGGAAACATTAAGCTTCTCAATGATCAAAATTAGTGTTTGTCAAACTGCTACACATCCAATGAAATTTTTCTGATAAAGTGTGTGGTCAGTTTTGTGAAATTTTAATATTTTTGTCAATGGGTCAAAGTAAATATTTTGTCAAAATTTAATGAAAATTAAACGAGCAAAATTAATTTTAATCAAGATGTTTGGTACCACCTTAACAATATAATTTTTGTAAGGTATCTTTTCCGGTATTTAATTTGACTTTATAATAATTATAATGTAAGGTATTTTTTTTTAAGAACAGTTATATATGAAAAATTCATTCATTATCTCGACATGAAAAAATAAAATAGTCATTTGTAGCTTAGAAACAGAAGCAATATCGAGTCTCGCTGACAATTCCGACAGTCTATTTCATTTAACAAAATCTGTTACATTTAAAGAATAAAATGTTAACATGTGAGATGGAAATCTGCGTGCGTTTAGAAGTAAAGGCTAATTTTTATTTGTTCAATGGCACAGGTACTTTGATTTTATTTTGTTTGTTGGTACCGACTGTTTAGCAACACAACTGGTAATTTAACATGTGAATATACTTACATCCATTGTGAAAGTGAAAATTAACAGTTGGTCGAAATACTGCACTAATTAGATCAAATATGATCTGAAAAAGAAAATATTGGGCAATTTTACATGTACACAATAACTGCTTACATTGAAATGTAGTTTTACATGTTTGTAAAAAATCAAAGCATACACATACAAATAAAATACTATTTCAATCTCTTTCCTTATTATCTTTTCTTATATTGTATTTATATATGTTATGGTCACAAAAGTATAAGCGTGACCTTTTGCAAAGTAATAAGCCCTACACAAAAAAAGGTTACATACCGCTTGAAAAAGAAATACGCATATTCCTTTTTTTTAATTAGGTTTTGCCAAAATGTTTTTTAAGCATAACGATATATTTAGTGTAGTAAAAATTCAACTTCATAGATTTTTATCAGAAGAATGTAAAACAATGTACCTCGATTACGGATCACTCTGTTTAGATAGTTAAATATACATAACAGATTGGTCATTGTTCATTATCTTTCAAAATAAAGTTAAGTATCGGTAATACTAAACATTGTAGCAATAATGTTCTCCTGAAGATCATTTGGAATTTGCTACTAAATACAAGAAAAAATTGAAAAGAAACATACATATGTTTAAGGAAAATACGCGAAAAATTTTCTTCGCAATTGTTCTGCTTTCAGGTATCATTTTATTTCATCATCATTTTATTATAACCGATATTAGAACTTCTACTTCGTCAAAGTTTTCTCCCCATTACGCCCCCTAAATTTTTCGAAAAGTTGAAAAAAAACAATAAAAACATCAACAAATTCCTATAAAATAATTCATAGAAAGGCAGACAAAAATATTTCAAAGGTTGAAGACTGTCACTAATTACCCTTGACAACACACATGTTTGTTTTCAAAATATGAACAAAACCATCAAAAAGTAAAGTCTGTTATCAAGAACATTAATTTAATAAAAATGTGTTACTCAAATACACCTATTCCGTTGTTATGACTTATTAGAAAGATGTTTAACCTGATCCATATTTTTCATTTCTTGCCATAGTGAACTTTCAATGTTATTATATCAAAATGAATATAGAAAAATAACAGAATCTGAATTGAGATGTTGTATCAAATAGTTTTTGCTTTATACGTTTTCAAGACAAAACAGTAAACTCAAACACGCCTGAACATAAAAAGGTGTACCCTACTTTCTCTTTTCGATGAGAATATTGCACATTTTACGATTTTTTAACGAATAACCGTGTCCGGGAGAATAGATACAAATCAATGCTTTAAAAAGATCAATCTGTTATCTTTCTGTTGATTTAATTATTTCGGCGGAATTTATATTATGTATATACAAAAGATTCACATGTATTTGTGTCCGTGTATATTTTCGTCCATTCGTTTTTCATTTTGAAATATCAAAAACAAAAAACAAAAAACGAGTGTTTTCATTTTTCGTTTTTCATTTTGAAATATCATAAACAAAAAACAAAAAACGAGTGTTTTCCTTTTTCGTTTTTGATTTCTCAAAAACCAAAACGAAAAACAAAAGTGTTTTCCTTTTTCGTTTTTGATTTCTCAAAAACCAAAACGAAAAACAAAAGTGTTTTCATTTTTCGTTTTTGATTTCTCTAAAACCAAAATGAAAATCAAAAGTGTTTCCGTTTTTCGTTTTTGATTTCACTAAACAAGAATTTTGTATTTAATTTTAATTATTTCTCGTTTTATAATACCTACCTCAATCGCCGGTTTTTTTTTTGAAAATTAGTTTTTAATTAAATGGTTTACAAATATCTCGAAGTTCCAAACTGCAATTTAAGTATAAACATTTATACATGATGCATACATTTTAGAGTATGCACCTACATTGAAATTTTAAAGCCCATAGAAACAGATGTAAACATTTCAAGTATACCAACTTTACCCATTTTACCTTGAAGTTCTCTAAAAAGAGTTCGTTTCAAACTGGATATCAACCTGTAAAAACTTGAATCAAAAACATGGTCTAATTAAAATTTAGAATGAATTTCAGATATAGATACAGACATGGCTGCCAAAAACTCACCCTTCGACGTAAAGCAGAAGTATACCACAATTCCGCCTTTCACGCGATATTTATACAAGAAATGTATTGTGACCTTGTAAATGCTTATCCGAAAAGCAGATACAGAAACCGGCGATATGCTACTTTACGACAGGAAACAGAATTGCATGACCTGCATTGGTAGGATATATATTTAACTCGAATAACATTTTACGGAAGTTTCTTAATACGGATGAAGCTAAAGAACCAGGATTTATGAAGAGATGATTAGAAATCCCCATAGCTTGCGACATGCAAAAAACCCATACTTCATTTCTGTAATTAAAAAAAAAATGTTTGTGGTGCATTTAAACACACAATTTTAGTTGTTGATACATGACGCATGGTATGAAATATCACATGAAGGTTCAGTTTCTGCTTAAATAACAACTTACCGATAAAAGCGAAATTCTTGGATGAAAAGAAAATAATAAAATACTTTTGTATAAAGAAAGTACTAAATTAAAATCTTTAAACAGTATGGAAATAAATAAATTGATTAAAAATCAAGGTATATTCTCTAAAAAAAAACTCTGTATAATATAAACATTGCATAGGTTTTTTTGAAAAATCGAAACAAATGTTTCTCAAGGGAACAATTACCGATTTACTAGCAGGAAAATTCGAAATCCTAAATTCAAAATTTAAATTCAAAATTCAAAATTAATTTAACAAAGAATTTTACAGATTTGTAGTTAAATTTGGTCGATACCTGTAGTACAAGAAGTATATACAAATAACATCAATTTTCAATTGAAATAAAAAATGTAAACACGTCTAAATAGAACAGTCAAAGACATCCAAGGATATTTAAGGACATTCCATGAAAACCAAATAAATGAGATCAATTAACGTTGACAAGTTAGCTACCAACAAAATAACATTGATTTGATGTTTGAAGAAAGCCAAAAACAAATAAAGAAAACATTTTCATCATTATTTTGTTATATATTTTTTAATTTTCTATCCATCATTTGTTTTCAAAGGATCTATTTACTTTGCTGCTGTCTAGACCTCTGGTTAATTTTCATGAAATGATAACATTTTCAAACTATCAGATTTCTATCTAGTCATTTTGTATTTGTCTCTTCTTAAAATGTAAATATACTTGCATTTAATTGTACATTTGTTTTGCGATAACTTATTTCATTGGTAAAATGGCCGGTAATTAAAGCAATAAAACATGGTCACCTTTAGATGCCTTTTCTGGTTCGGTGATCGTCCTAAAAATGCACGAAGTATTTGCCACTGGACAAGAAGCAACCAACAATCAATCAATGGTTTAGTGAAATGCTAGTTTGCTGTCTCATTAGAAGTCCATCACACATCTCCTTTAAACACTTAAATTGAACTTAGACAGACAACCCAATGGATGAAAATGAAAGTCGAAAGACAAAACATTACAATGACATTTTAAGACTTGGTATAAAAGCTCCATGATCACTCACAAGGGATGGGCACATTAGTTAGATAACACCATTTATAGAGTTTTTTTCCCTAAGATTTTGTTTTATTAAATGTATTGGCCTATACATTAGCCCTGTAATTTACCGGTCTCTTGTCTGAAACCTTGTTTATATTTGCCACGGTTTAGATATATTCATGTATATTTTCTGCTTTTCTGCTGTATTTATTAACCTAAACTGTTTCCATAACCTGCCTAGTGTATAGACGATTAAGGGTGACATACGGTATTGACAATTGCTTGTGTGCTGTTGAAAACCGTATGTTGACCTCTATAGTTGAAGACCATATGTTGACCACTATAGTTGAAGACCGTATGTTGACCACTATAGTTGAAGACCATATGTTGACCACTATAGTTGAAGACCGTATGTTGACCACTATAGTTGAAGACCATATGTTGACCACTATAGTTGAAGACCGTATGTTGACCACTATAGTTGAAGACCGTATGTTGACCACTATAGTTGAAGACCGTATGATGACCACTATAGTTGAAGACCATATGTTGACCACTATTGTTGAAGACCATATGTTGACCACTATAGTAGAAGACCGTATGTTGACCACTATAGTTGAAGTCCGTATGTTGACTACTATAGTTGAAGACCGTATGTTGACCACTATAGTTGAAGACCGTATGTTGACCACTATAGTTGAAGACCTATGTTGACCACTTTAGTTGAAGACCGTACATTGACCTCTATAGTTGAATACTGTGTTGAGCTTCAGTTTTGGTTATCTTTTGTGTCGGAAAAGCGTATTTTGTTACTGATACCCTCATTCTCAGAACTCAATCAAGGTCATTTTTAAATAATGTGAAAATTCAGTAATGCGTGCCGAATCGGACCATGTAGACATTTATTTTTAATTGTCCATGTTATCTTGCATCGTTGAATTATAGTATAAATAACAACTGTGTCATATTTGTTTTATTATCATTAAAGATTCTCTAATGTGTTCTATAGCATGAATAACACTTTATATAACTTTTGATTAAACAGAAATTGAACAGTACAAATGATTTAACTTATCAGACATTTCAATGCTTATACATTATAATCTAAGCACCAATGCACGAGGTAAACGTAAGGAAAATAACGACACAACAAAGTTGTTGAAGGTCTACAGGAACAAAATTGTGACAACACTTCACATTTTTTTTAATACAATATTTTTCACAGTCATGTTAATAACAAACAAAATGTTTAATATGCTATAAATATTGTTTTTATTAATGACTCAATTCTTCAAGAAATTTTCTCATGTCAATTTATCCATGAAAATATCTTCTTCCAAAACGGTTACGACGAAAACCACCAAAACCACGATTAAAGCCGTAGCGATATCGTAGATAGCCACCGAAGTTACCACCAAAGCCTCTCCTGTATCTGTTAAAGTTATAGTTAAGAGGTTTAGTACCCTCTACGGCTGAACCAGTCAACAACAATACAGTGAAAAGAACTCCTAGCACCATAAGTAGATTTTTCTGAAAACATAAATAAAGAAACATAAGAATTCCATTGAACATATTTAATATGCCTTCACAAATACAGAACAGTTATATGTGATTAATCGTGCATTATCACAGAACGGAAATGTTAAGGATGTTCGCTACTCTTGTTTTTGATTTTTTTGTCAGATATTTGGAATCCTCTAGTTTTATCCTTGTAGTGCCAATAAATATTTAACAAACTAACCCCTACTTTTCTTTTCATAATTTTATTACATGATAGTTTAAAAAGCCATTTGTGAAAATCTTATAAAATCCTTATTATTTTTTCATAGTTTTTGAAAGAAAAAAGCTGCCAATGTTAAATTATCAAAAATCTAGAGAGAATCATTTCCCGCCAAATTTTCAATAGCTTATAATATCTCGAAAACAAGCACACGGACCCTTTATTTTTTTCTATTTTTTTATCTCCTTTATTTATATTCATTCAATTTATAACAGTCTTTTAAAAAGCTTGTTATTTTGAAACAGAGTAGCTAACATCCTTAACTAGAAGTACGCGACTTAGAAACCGGAACAATTTCGAGGCTTGCTAATCTTTCTGGCAAAAGGTCTATTTCATTTGATAAAATATGTTTCATTATAAGAAAAATATGTAAAAAAATAAAATCATCTGTTTGGACATACAGAACAGTTATATGTGATTAATCAGGCAATATCTCAGAACGAAAATATAAACTAGATCTAATGTACGCGACTTAGAAACAGGAATAATTTCGAGGCTTGCTAATTTTTACGACAAAGGTCTATTTCATTTAATAAAATCTGTTTCATTTTAAGAAAAACATGTAAAAAAAAAAATCATCTGTTTGAAAATTTGCGTTGAGAATTCAAATTTGATTTTTTTTTCAATATATCCATCCTTTGCGAGGTGTTCCGATTTAGATTTTACTCTGACTTTTAAAGACAAGACAAATGAACGAAAATGTAGAAAAAAAAGTTGGTCCTTTTCCTTTTTTCCAAAATCATTGAGGCCTTTTTTTTTTTAGATTGACCCGAAGTACATCTTATTTTCATTTTATGTATCATGTGCAATTTTTTCCCTGACAGATTAGTTTGAGTGGATCACTAAGATATTTTATAATGTGTTCGCATCTCTTAGCTATTATAAATTCTGCTATCCAAAAAACTTAGAAATTAAACATAAAACCATTGTAGCGTTCTATTTGCAATTTCAAGACACGAAAAGATTTGATTGTTGTGTATATGCTTATCAATATAATAGAAAATGACTTTCATCATCCTCACTTACACATGCAGAGAGACTTGTTGTCTTACATTTATCGGTCTCTAAATTGGAAAATTAGTAATTTGTTAAAACAAGATCTGTCTTGGTGTATAAATATCATTGTTGATAGTTATGTCTTTGTTTTAGTTATACTGTATTTTTTAAATAATTAGTGTACGTCTTTTTTTTTAAATTTCTTACCTCAGCACTATGAAGACTACGTATCGTTTGAGTCTAACATTTTGCATCATGTCAAGAAACTTTTTCACTTTAGGTTTATATTGATGATGCGTAAAAATATGAATCTTTGAGAATGAACGATTGCCATTTTTCCTACAGACTAAACTAATTTAAAGTTCTTAACTTTTTTACTGACACGTTGGTGTTTTTTTATATTCAACACATGCAGTATACAAATCTGGATGATTACACATATATTTATTCAAATTAAAGGGGCACTAGCTGTCAAATTCATGTTCATCGATTTGACTCAAATCCTCATATTTGATTTATAACCATGTAAAACATTTAACCAAATTATAAAAAGTATAATGTAAACAATTTACAGGGCATGGGCTCGATAAAACGTAGCTTCGTTTCGTGTGTATTTGAGTCTTGTCGCCATCTAATTAATAATCGATTTGACCTCCGAAGACCTCCGATGGTCATATAAGCAATATAAACAAAAATATAGATATAAATAGAAAGCGAAACTCGTGCATTTGGATTTTTCTAGATCTGTTTAATTTCATATTATAGATTAAAAATATATGTTAATCATCGTTTTTACCTGTATAAGAATGTTTTTTTGTGGATCGAATCAGTCAATCAAATGATTTACCTTTGTTTCATTTTCAATGT